TCGCCCCTAAGCATTAGATGTTTTGTGTAACTGTGGCTGTTTGGTACACGCTCATCGTATCTGGAGCCTGTGCCACTGAAGTCACATCATCAGCAGTTCCCCATGTTCTTCTTCTGCTTAACCTTGTATCACTGCACAGGGTGGGTGGTAGAAAGATTTGTAATTAAACCAAGTCAAGAAATGCTTCCCGTTATTTTTCTTCCACTAAAACCAATGTAGTTAAAAACTAGGACTTTCCAAGTTTCTGGGCCACAGTAACTAAGATAAGATACATTAAACATGTCTAGACACATAGGCAGCGTTTAAGAAATGTTAACTGAGTTTCAAGTGACAAAGAGAATATGGACTATAATCACCTCTGAAAAGATACAATGGAAATTAAATTCACCCTCTGTTCCCAACACATTTTTAATGTCACCGAGAAGATAAAATGCATTTACACCCCACAACGGAGGCCCAACGGAATTCAGAACACGCTCGTCCTGGCTCTCCGAGGGCTGGAGGCGCTTTGTTCATTTTGCACCCCCAGCACGCACAACGCTGCCTGGCACGTTAGAGATGCTCAGAAGCACCCGCTGCACTGAGCTGACCTACGGGCTAAGAGCTGTGCTTATTTATAGAGGGGAAGGTCACTGTGAGTTGAGGTTAAATTAGGCAAACCAGAGAGCGTGGACATGGCAGACTTTGATTCTGGCAATAATTTGGAGAAAGGAAGCTGAACCACAGAAGCCCTGGGATACTCTGAAAATGAAAGGCGGTGTGAGAAAAAAATGTTTACATAGTCCTAATTTATTAAAAACTTTGCTGTTTCTGCACAACCAGCATTGAAACCCCTGTTGTACATATTAACTACTCATGAGGAACCTGTAACACATTATAGACACAACTTAAAAACAAAGAAAACACACCAGCACAGAACACTACATTCCTCGACATCACAAACAAGCACTCATTCTCAGGAAGCTTTCTGTGTGAAAAGATGACAAGCGGCAGAAGCAGTAAATTAAGACTTTAGATATCAATGCAGAGTTCCGTCGTGGATGCCGTCCTTGCTAAGCAAGGTGAAAAAGAGTGTGTTTACCTAAACTTTCTTTCAGATCTCTACACTCAGTGAAGCTATTTGCGCATATATATATAATGTTAGCATTTAGAGGGTGGTTACAGAAGATTTGGAATCTGCATTCAGCCCCAACAGCATCATATTCACACCACCTGATTACAAACATATCTTAAAAAAAAGAGAATGTGCCCGGCCTGGTGTGGTTCAGAGGCCAGAGCGCCGGCCTGCAAAGCTAAAGGTCACTGATTTGATTCCCAGTCCAGGCACACGCCTGGGTTGCAGGCCAGGTCCCTGGTTGGGAACATGGGAGAAGCAGCCGATCAATATCTCTCACACACTGATGTTCCTCTCCCTCTCTTTCCCCCTCCCTTCTCCTCTCTTTAAAAGTAAATAAATAAAATCTTTTTAAGAGAGAGAATCCAACTTCCTGAACTAGGGTATATTATTCAGCAGACTCCATACATCCTAACTTCATTCCCACACATATTTTCCTTTCTTTTATTCCACTTGTGCTTTGAAAAAATTCAAAGAATTTAGAGAGAAGGAATTTGCTACTATCACATCTCTAACAGCTGCTAGTTGGATGTACTAAATCCATAGCTTCTTCAGTTACGTTATTTGGCCATTTCAGAAAGTGTGCTTAAAACGAATCTAGTTTCGATTTAAGCCTATCCTATTGGACTGCCTTAAGAGCAAGTTGCAGGGAGCTTGGAAGTTGGGTGTATGATAGTTCTACCAGGATGTAATCCAGCAATCTCTTCTGACTAAGTGTTTCTAATAGCTCTCCATTCAGTCTCCCCAGCCTAAAGCACTGAAGAACAAATGCCAGTCAACAAGTTGTCTGGGAGTGAACAGCTGATCTAAGGCACTGCATGCATCAGGCAGGTGTTCCTCGCTCTTCTGAAAACACGTGTACATTCCAGTCATGACTATATGTGTCAGATAATTTAGAAGAATTAAAACAACATAAAAGAATAGGGTTTAAAACAAAAAAGTTTCAAAAGTCCAGACAAATACAAATAGAAAACTGAGAATTTTGTTTTTCCAAAAAATGTCCTGGTAACTGTGATTTTCAGACTTTGTGAGGCTTTAGCACACTGTTTTATCCCAAGAATACAAACTGTTACTTATTGTTTTAACTCTAAATGAGGCACTTCTCTCTAGGACATCAAAAGATTCAGAAGCCCAACAGTAATAATCATTTAAAAATGACATGGGCTCTGGCTGGTGTGGCTAGTGGACTAAGTGCAGGCCTGCGCCCCAAAAAGTCACAGGTTTGGTCCCCAGTCAGGGCACAGCGGGCCAGACCCCCAGCTGGGGCACGTGTGCGAGGCAATCACACACTGATGTTCCTCTCCCTCTTCTTCCTTTCCTTCCCCTCTCCCTAAAAATAAATAAATAAAATCTTTTTAAAAATATCATGGGACATAACATTTGTAAACCTGAATTGCACCGGTCACCAATTCAACAAAAGAGTATTTCGGATATAAACCACATATATTTGAACATTTGATAATTTAGTAAACTGATCCATAGGAAGAACTTCACTGTCAAATGGAATAATACAAATTCCAAAAATTGCATTAACACAAATGGTTGAAGATTTCCAAATTAAATCACCCTTAGCAAGTTACTGAATCTCTCTGTACTTATTTCTTCATTTACAAATTGGGGAAAATAGTAATAGCATCCTCTAAGATTATCAGTATTAAATGAATACATGTTAAATTCTTATAATAGAGCCTGGCAAAGGGTAACTAACAAAGAATGTTTGTATTATATTGGGAACCAACATTTGTTAAATGACCAGTGCCCTGACCAGTGTGGCTCAGTTGGTCAGGCACTGTCAGGGCACTGCCTGAGTTGTGGGTACAGTCCCCAGCTGCTTCAATTCCCAGTTAGGGCACATGCCTGAGTTGTGAGTTCGGTTCCCAACTGGGGCGCATACTAGAGGCAACCGACTGAGGTTTCTCTCTCACATAGGTGTTTCTCTCCCTCTCTTTCTCCCTTCCTTCTCCTCTCTCTAAAATAAATAAAATCTTTTTAAAAAAATAAACAAAATAAAAATAAATTTAAAATCTTTTTAAAAAAATAGTCATAAAAATAAAAAAACATACTGCTGTCATGAGCTGTGGAAGAATAGTTTCAAACTATTACAAGTATATTTAGAGTCTAAACAAAAAAATGAAAAAAGAGCTCCCTGCTTAAAAAAGATAACCATGTCCCTTCAGAATGAATTGATAATCCTACCACCTTGACTCTTTGTCATCGGTCCTATTTTGCAAAATTAGATTCTTTCTCCTGTGCTCTCCAGGTAAACCTCAGCCCTTAACATCAAGAAAGCCACAGGACAAGCTCCTTCGGGGCAGCTAAATAGAAGGGTGTGTGAGGTCCTCAGCATCTTCTCGTTTTATTAACAAACCACGAAGCACAACAGAGACTCATTCCTGAAATAAATCACCAAATGTTCCTTAAATAAAAACTGCAAACTTTCATGTGAATAGACCTCTGCAACAATAGGGAGTTGTTCCAGTCTGTGAATAGGACAGTGTCAGCAAAGCCGGGGGCTGGACATTCCTGACACCCTTGTCCCCTGGCTAGCCTTTGACCACTTATATCACTCAACCACATGTGTTTTTGGAAATCACTTTCAGGCAAAGTATATGGTCAGTATTTATACCCTGAAACTTACCTTTCGTCACAGAGCCCTGTGTTCACAGCGCCTGTCCTGGAGCCTCACTTCTGACCGCCATCATTAAGAACACCCCACAGGAATGGCCATCAAACACAGGAGCGCTTTGTTCCCCTTGTTCTTCCACCCCCACTCCCCAACGTCACTTCGTGTTTTAATTTGTATATTCTGGAAAACATCATGGGACGGCAATGGCGAAGAAGCCAAACGATAAAATGACCTAGGAACTGCACCGCCATAAGGAAAGAAAAAGTGTGGTATCCTGCTTTTAGATCGACGCAGGTTTGAGTCTTCGCTCCTACTTGGAACGCAGCCTTTGAAAAGAGACTTGGCTTAGGTCTTCGTTGTCTTACGTGAAAATGGATTAGTGAAACCCACCTCGCAAAGTTGCTGTAAAGTCTAAATAAGATACTAATTCAGAGTACCCAGTATACAGTGCGTGCTCACTAATCAGAAGCTATTTCAGTCCTTCTGTCCAGTCGTCCCGGGACACACGAAGCTAAGGGCAGTTTCAGACAGTGGAAAAGACAAATCAAAACGCCCAAATTTATCGGTGTGTCCTGATCAAAATGGTCCAGATGCTAAGGCCCAGGGTAAGGCTCTGTGGGGTCTCCTGGTCGAACTGGAGGCCAACAAAAAGTACTTGACTGAGATCTGTGGCATTTTATTTACATGAAAGTTGGGTTTGCCAAATCGAGTCCCTTTGTTTACAGCAAGGGACAAGTGATCCCCAGAGAGCGTGACTAAGAAGCCAGGCAGGCGACAGAGTTGTGCATCCGCTGACCCTTCAGAAAGCCGTTCACTACCCACTTCCAAGCACGCCGCTTGCTCCAGTGTCTCTTCTAGCAAGTTCCCGCGCCTACGCCCAAACGGCCACTGTCTTTCCAGAGGCCCTGCCAACTGCCCGGGTAGAGCCCACCGCCCGCAACGAGCTGCCCGGGCCCCGCACCCCACGCCTACCCGCCCGGACCCCGCCTCCAGGCCCGGATCCGAATCCTCTCCGGAGAACCGAGCGCTCCCACGACAGAGAACCCGGAGCCCCGGAGCCCCGGAGCCCCAGAGCCCCAGAGCCCCGGAGCCCCGGAGCCCCGGAGCCTCTGAGCACCGAAGCCGCGGAGCCTCGGAGCCCCCGGAGCCTCGGGCGCTGGGACCGCTATTCCACCCTGGACGGGATCCAGCCGCTGCGGGCCCGCTCCGCTCCCATCATCCCCAGACCCCTTTCTCCCAAAGGCGGACACTCACACTCACCCTTGAAAAGCAGCATCAGGAAGAAGTCAGGCAGCCGGGCGCAGAGCTGGAATCCCCGCCGCCGCAGCCTCAACGCCATGTCTTGGAAAGCTCAGGGGCCGCGGGCTTGCGGCGCAGCTAGGCTTCCCCGCGCGCATGCGCCCAGCCGGCGGAGACCCTGCTATCCGCCCCTTGTTACCATAGCGACCACCTGGCCCGGCAGAGCCGTCACCATGGTGACAAAGGAAGCTGAAATCTAGTTATACTCGATGCAGGGATGCCCTGGACCTGGGCCCACAATGTCTGTTTCAATGAATTGAGTGGGAGGAGGATGTTCAAGAGTGGGGTGGGGTAAATTTCCATAGCTTTAGAATGAATACATCATTACAGATCAGAGAAGGAACACTCAAAAACTGTAAAAAGAAGTGTTTCTCATTTTACCAATAAGGATGCAGCCCAGCTATCTTGGAAGCATTACTGCCTGCACTTTTTTTGAGGCCCCAATTCCAAATGTGATAAAAGAAAAAAGCTCTGAAATCAATATAAAACATAGCCAACACATTCATTTTACAGTACATAAAAGTGACATCTTTCTAAAACAAGCGTGATTCGTTTCTATGGTAGATCAAAATTGATGATATACTTAGTAGTTTCTTCTGCAGAAAGCCAGCCTAATTATTTGCCTAACTGAAGGAACCATTTTGGTTACCTGGTTTCTAAATATAGGAAAACGATAAGGCTAGGGAGAAAAACTGCAGCAGAATCTTAGGAGGTCAAGAAGACAAGATGAAGAGAAGGATAAAATGTACTGCAAATTGGACTTTAGGATGCAGGTGGTTTTTAGTGTCATTTAATACTATGGAAAATTTCAAAATAGCTTGTATTATATCTAATATAGAAAGTACATTTCTATTGTTCCAAGAAATAAGAATAAAAACAGAATTTGAATATAATGATTAGTAACATGTGTTAATTTACAACAACTATATATTTTAATGTATAACTAATGGACTTTAATTTTTCATACAGTCACCCTAAATTTCTTTTAGTGTTTTTGGTTTTTACAAAGTAGGACAGTGTGTGTATAATTTACATATATACTAAATTATATATTTTAATTTATAATACATACAAATATCAAGAAACATCTAATAGATTGAGGTTGTTGCCAAATTCATGTTTCAAATGCAATCATTATATAATCTTCTTTATAAGTCGTTTTATTCAGTTAATAAGGATAGCTTTTATTTATTTTAATTATATTTTATTGTTTATGCTATTACAGCTGTCCCAAATTTTCCCCCTTTGTCTCTCTCCACCAGCACCCACCACTCCCTCAGGCAATCACCACACCATTGTCCATGTCCATGGATACTGCATGTATGTTTTTTGGCTACTCTTTTCCCTATGCTGTACTTTACAGCCCTATGACTATTCTGTAATTACCAATTTGTACTTCTTAATCCCTTCACTTTTTTGCCTGTACCCCCAATGCTTCTCCGATCTGGCAACAATCAAAGTGTTCTCTGTATCTATGATTCTGTTTTTGTTCTCCTTGTTTATTTTGTTTTTTAGATTCAATTGCTGATAGATATGTATTTATTGCCATTTTATTGTTCATATTTTAGATCTTCTTCTCAAAGATCATTTTAACACTTCATATAATAATGGTTTGGTGATGATAAACTCCATTACCTTTTTCTTGTCTGGGAAGCACTTTATCTGTCCTTTGATTCTAAATGATAGCTTTGAGGAATAATTTTGGTTGTAGGTCCTTGCTTTTCGTCACTTTGAATATTTCTTGCCAGTCCCTTATAGTGGGCAATGATTCTTTAGAGAAATCAGCTGACAGTCTTATAGGAGCTCCCTTGTAGGGAACTACTGCTTTTCCCTTCTTTTAAGAGTCTCTCTTTGTCTTTAACCTTTGACATTTTACTTATGATGTGTCTTGGAGAGGTTCTCTTTGGGTCTACTTGTTTGGGACTCTCTGTTCTTCCTGGACTTGTATGTCTATTTCCTCCACCTAGTTAGGGAAGTTTTCTTTCATTATTTTCAAATAGGTTTCCAATTTCTTGCTCTTGCACTTCTCCTTCCAGTACCCCTATGATACAAATGTTGATGCATCTGAAATTGTCCCAGAGGCTCCTTACACTGTCCTCATTTTTTTTGGATTCTATTTCTTCTTGCTCTTCTCATTGGTTGGTTTTTGCTTCCTTGTGTTCTGATTTGATTCTTGGCTTCATCCACTCTACTGTTGATTCCCTGTAAATTGTTCTTTATTTCAATTAGTGTATCCTTTGTTTCTGACTGGATTTTTTTGATGCTGTTGAAGTCCTCACTAAGTTCCCTGAGCATCATTATAACTAGTGTTTTAAACTCTGCATCTGATAGATTGTTTCTCTCCATTTTGTTTAGTTCTTTTTCTGGAGTTTTGCTCTATTCTTACATATGGGCCATGTTTCTTTGTCTCCTCATTCTGCCAGCCTCCCTGTGTTTGTTTTTATGTGTTAGGTAGAGCTACTATATTTCCCAAGCTTGGCAGAGCGGTCTAATGTAATAGGTGTCCTATAGGGTCCAGTGACACAGCCTCCCCTCTTCTCCAAGCTGGGTACTCAAGGCGCGCCTACTGTGTGGGTTGTGTAAACCCTCCTGTTGCAACTGAGCCTTGACTGCTGTTGGCACATCCAAGGGCAGCCACTAACTGTGTTCTGTCTGGGATCACACTGCATAAGCTGCAAAGGGACCTGCAGATAGCTGCTACTTGTGCTGGGCTTGGAAGTGCCTAGGTAAGGCCAAGTCGTGAACCAAGGCTGACTACTGCTAGTGCTGGGCGGGGACAACTTAGGAAGAGGTATGGGGCTCTCTGAAGCCAGATACTGCTTGTTTGAGACAATTTAGGAAAAGATGAAGCATGGGCCAAGACAAGCCATTCATATGGAAAAACCTCTGGAAACATTGTGGGTGGACACACAACTTGGGTGGGTAGGGAATCACCCGTGTGGTGCAAAGAATGTGAGCCAGGTTGATGGAGTCTCAAATATGCTCTGTGGCTGTCTGGGGAGAGGGCTCAGAAAAGGAAAAATGGCCTCTGCCAGCACTTCCATCTGAAAGCTGCCCCTCAGCTCTTGCCCTGATGCCGGACAATTAAGTTCCGTCCCGGATGTCTCTGATGCCTTTCAATCCGCTGCCTCAGTGCCAGAGCTCAGAGAGAGTGAGCCTGAGTAAATCTGTGCATGGGCCCATTAAGAGGAACTGCCTGACACTCCAGCAGCCCTCTGTCTCACTCAGCCACAATCCTCACTGGCTTTTGCAGCCAGAAGTTATGAAGACATCTTCCTGGCACTGGAACCCTAAGTAGGAGGGATGGAGCTCCTCACTCCTGAGATAGCCCTCCTGATTTTTATCTGCAACAGGTGGGCGTGGACCAGCCCATTCCATGTCTCTGCTCCTTCTACCAGCCATGAGGTGGTTTCTTCTTTAATTCCATAGTTGTAGGACTTCCATTCAGCTCAATTTCTGATCGTTCTGAATGACGGTGGTTCTATATCCCAGCTGAAATTTTGATGTTGTTACTGAAAAAATGAACCCGGGGAGGGGGGGGTTGCCCAGATGCTATTACTGAAACAACCCCCCACTTCCCTGGGGTCCCTCGGTTGTGGGTCCTTTGCCCGCCGCCCTTGGAATTATGGCTCTGAATGGCAGAGTTTGGTGGAAAGGGACTATTTATTCAAAAGTTATACAGACTTGATTAATGGCTAAATGTCGCCCTTAAACCTCAAAATCCCTTTAAAACAATCACCAGCACACACACAGTCCTGCCTTCCCCGCTTTGCCCAGTTGGGCCAGTCAGGCCAGTCAGGGGTACCGTCCTTCAGAAGGAAAAGAACAGAAGTCCGGGGCTCAGCTAGGCAGGCCTCTTGCGGGTCTCAGCACCATCCGCTGCGTCGCCACAATCTCCAGCTCTTAATCCATAACCATGTGGCACCTTCTCATGGCCCACTAGCAAGAGTCCTTTCTCCGTTCTTTCTTCCCACGTGGTCTTCACACTGTTCCCCAGACTCCGTGTCCCTTTGTCTCTCCTGCAGGCCTCCGTCTCTCCTCTTCCTCTCCCAGTTACATTCTGTATTAAGTCTTTCAAACCTTCCTGATTTGACTTGGTGATATGCAAAATAACCCTCTTTGCATATGAGGAATGAAGCTATCCTGTTATTGACATGCGAAATGACTCTCAATGGCCCTGCTCAAGGCTCCCATCCCCCAAGGCGGCCGGCCCTGGGGTGGAGAGAATATATTTTTCTTGAACACCCCAATCTCTGGACCACATCACAAATACCCTCTGGGGGGTCCCGGATGGGCCCCGTTACAATGTGGTTGTGCAATAGGCAAGCTGTGTTCACCTATGTCACCGTCTTGATCTGTCAAGGGTCTCTAAGTCTTTGTAACTGCTCGAACCTTTGCAAGTATGAGTTAATTACATTCCCCAAATTCTCATAAAAATAATATAAAAACTTAAAAACAGCTCAGTCACCTATCATCATTCCATTTGTCTTTCATTTTATTTTCTAATAAAGATTTCATTTATTTATTTTTAGAGAGAGAGGAAGGGAGGGAGAAAGAGAGGGAGAGAAACATCCATGTGTGGTTGCCTCTCACATGCCCCCTACTGGGCAGCTGGCCTGCAACCCAGGCACGTGCCCTGACTGGGAATAGAACCAGCGACTATTTGGTTCAAAGGCCAGCACTCAATCCACTGAGCCACACCAGCCAGGGCTTGTCTTTCATTTTCTAAAGCTTCTTTCAGTTTCAGTTTCTCATAAATTCAAAGTCACAAGTAAAAGCATGTAAAAATTATTTTATGGTGGCAGTCTCTCTCCTTTCATCAAACACATAACAAAGAAATTAAAAGAGAAACATTCTTTTTAGGCCCGCTGGCTGTTTTTCCTTCTGCTCTCTCTTTCCTTTATTATTTTCTTTAGCTCCTGGTTATGCAGCCAGTGGTATTTGCCTAACTGAAGGAACCATTTTGGTTACCTGAGGAATGTAAGATGGTATCTGACTGTGGACAGAGTACAGTTTTCAGAAATTAGTGCCCCTTTCCTCCTGCTGGATTTCCTCTGCTTGCACTGTGAAATGATTCTGTCTGTTAAACTTCTTCTCTG